GGTCCAACCGTTGGTCGCCCTGCCATTGGTGGTGCCGTTGTGTCGTTCGATTCGTTCGTGGCCAGGCTATTTGGTCCCGAATCCGCTGCAGACGGTGGTCAGGCCCCGGTGGCGGTTCCGAGGGTGACGACTGTCGTGACTTGGGGACGGCTTGGTGACGACTTGGTGCGCCAGGAATGAAGAGGGAGAGGAAATCGAACCACTGAGCAGCTCAGATTCGCCCACTTCCATCAAACTGGTGCCTTGCAGTCACTAGTGACACTAGTGCAAGTCTTGTGTGACTCAGTGAGCCCATGTGAGCCCAAGGAGTGGGATGAGCCTTGCAGTCAAGGAGCACCTATCATTGGATACCGTGTTCAGTGCTCTGCATCAGTTTGGATCCTCTTTCGCATCTTTGGATCTTCTAAGACTAAGAGTCATCTTGGACATTTTTTTCTGGCAGCAACTTTGCAGAGGAACAAAAGAAAGCAACACCCTTGTTGATATGTTGAAGCGGCAGCTGTTGGATCTTGGCAGGTACAGCCTTGATCCTGCTGAGGGAGTGGATGAAACAATCACTTCGCTTCATAGGTGCGTGGACATGCACCGCATCAGCAGATGTGTCCAAAATGTTTGGGAGAATTTGAGGAATACCAAAACTCATATCCCAACTCGCCCAAGAGTCATCATTTGAGGGCTTCAGTCGGTGGTACGGGGATGCAGTACATTGTACGTCTTTCTTGCGGCATTGTCACTGATTTCAGGGCTTGTGAGTCCTTGAGTGACTCTGATAGCCTCTTTTCCAGTTTGCGATTCTTAGTCAAGTCTCCGACCAATCAATCGTTTCATGGCTTTACAATGCCCAAACTCTGGTTTGTTTCATTCATTTTGTTTTTTCACAATCATGAGCCCGGATTGCATTTTTGCTCCCAAAAGGGTACAAGATTGTAACAAAATGGTACAAAGCGGAATCCGTCCAGGTATCACTTTTTTCCATTGCCTTTAAACCAATTTAGCAAAGGATTCCGATGTGCAGCTGCCAGGAGAACCTGGTTGGTTGTGAATGACCTGAAGCCAAGTCATCTCTACTTCTTCCGGGTGCAAGCATTGAACGAGGCCTGCAGCGATGCGGCCACTGAATCTCCAGCACACGTCCAGTAATCCCTCAGGTGGGTGCTTCAGAATGGACGAACTGGAGCGATGCGGTGGCAACCAAGGCGGACGCCAGAGTGCAGACTGTCTGCTGTGTACCGCGGATCTCGAATCTTTACATCAGATGTATCGCTCTTTGTGATTTTTCACATGACAATTTTCATGGGGAGACAGCCAGGCAGTTGGACCCGAGACACCGGAACCACCCACGCTTTGCCATGTACAGTGCTCAGCAACGAGGTCAACCGATATCTTGGGTCATCTTGGGTCGCGGGATGTTTCAACCAAGGCGGAGTCAAGGGCCTTGTCCATTGCTTGGACAGAACCCTTCTCATGTGGTTTCAGGCTCGGAAAAACGAAAAGAGCCACAAAGAACCACAAAGAACCACAAAGAACCACAAAGAAGAACAAAGATCATCAACATGATCAAATCCTCACCATCACCATCACCATCATCATGAAACAACCAAAAATAGATTGAGTGGTACATCATTCAGAATCCTTCACAGTATTATCCCATGATGTCCCGTAAATCATCCGGTTCCTGTGTCGACGCCAGGCTGGACAGCTATGATGTGAAGGTCTCCTGTGAGGATTCCTCCATGAAACATGCCATCCTCATCCGTGGGGACAAAGCACTGGCAGAAAAGCCCAGTCCTCGGTGAGGCTTTCAACGGCGATTTTCATGTCGCTTGAAACAAAGCAACAAGCAATCCGGAGTTGAGATGTTTCGAATGTTTCTAAGGCTGAAAAAAACACCATTTCATGATATTCCAATATATTCACTGAGTTTTATGAAGGTGTGTGTGAAGGTTTATGATATTTAATGATCGTCCAAAGGTCCCTTATTGAGACCCAGAAATCCATGGTCTTCGAACTTCGAGGTGTTCCATGGAGCTACAGGACTTGGAGCCGATGCACGAGTACTACTTCCAGGCGCAGAAATCCCATGAGAATATCACTGATATCACCCACCCTCATTGAGTATTGGGATAGCATGGGATATGTCATGATATGTCACCAAAAACATAATCTTATTTTGGGTGTGTCTAAAATGGGGTATACCTCCAAGTATACATCCGGCTGTTGAATCGCGAAAATGATGATTAGCCAATGGATTTCGGGAGTAGCTATTTTGATGGTACTCTGCAACATGGATTCTTAGTAAGAATGACTGGTGATTGGTGGTTTTACATCCAGGTACTCTTTTCACCTCTTTTCCAGAGATGATACAGATATTCTTTTCCCACTGGTTGGTTCGTTGATTAGGGTAAACCCCAGTTTTCAAAAACCATTCTGGGCACTGAAAATGATATTAATTCACACCGTACATGGCATACCAAATTCTCTTCTTGGCAGCGAACAAACATACCATTTTTCCCAGAGGTTTTTCCGCGTTTTCCAACGTCATAGCATGCAGGTGAGGGCAGTGGCATCCACGGGCACCTCCGAATTTAGCAAAGTGGCTGGGCCTTTCAAAACGACGATGGCTGTGGCAGCGAAATGTACGGACAGCTGGGGCTGGGGCTGGGGCCTGCTTGTTGAATTGGTTCAGTGGCTGACACGTGTTGGTTCATTGGGGACTTATTGGGTTTTTACTAGGTTGAAGTTGAAGATCTTGAAGATTTCAATGATGATTCATTGTTTGAATTGTTTGAATTGTTTGAATCCTTAGTCACCAAAAAACATGATAACAATCAGTAGCGATCCAGAGATGTTGAACACAGCTCGATTGGCGCAATGCGAGGACTTGCAGGTCACAAAGAATGAAACCCGCAAGGTGTGGACGAAACGTTTCTGTGACCCAAATTGCCGTGCAGATTCTGCACATCTCCAAAGCTTGGCCAGGTTGGTCTTCAATTCTGCACTCCGGACAGATGATTGCATCATGCGTGGCACGCATCATGCACATTCACGGCATTCACGGCATTCACGGCATTCACGGCATTCACGGCATTCACGTTCAACATATTTCAACGAGAAATCGAATGTCTGTGTTTTCCATGGCAGCATATCGCATCGCCATATCGCTACATATCGCTACATATCGCCATATTACGGCTACAGTGGCTACAGGAGACGTTTCGTCTTCCGATCCTGAAGTTCATCGTTCGGTGGTCTGAGGACGATGATGGACGATGGGACGATGGGACGATGTGACGATCCGATGTGGCCACATGCAACAGATTGCAACAGCCTTCTGCACACCGTGGCACACCAGGATTACTTGATGAGAGAGGAAATTGGTCGCATGGAGGTGCAAACTGCATACATCTTTCAGTCCAAAAAAAGCAGATGTAGAGATTCAGACTATAGGACTATATAGAACTATAGTTAAACTATAAATATGTCATGATTTGTCTTTTTCAGATTCCCAAAATGTATAGATCGACATCACAGATGATCTGATCCAAGATCCCCCTAAGTCATCACCATGGCTTTTCGATTCCAGGTACCGCTGGAGAGGCCCATATGTGGAAAGGGCAGCAACATCGACTGCACTGTGCCGGGACTCCAGCCAGGCGGGGATATAGGGATTTTACCATAAAACATGGGGATATTCATTGGAAATAATGGTTAATGATGGTTAATCATGGATAATCACCATGGATAATGGTTAATGATGTTATTCTGGTTGGTGGTGACTGGAACCATGGAATTTTGAATGACTTTCCAGAAACACTTGGGAATGGAATAATCATCCCAACTGACGAGCATATTTTTCAGAGGGATTGAAACCACCAACCAGTCATGATTGAACCAAAAAGTATGAAAAGGTATGAAAAGAAATCCAGCCATATAAAGGGGATGTTCAGAACAATCCATTTGAACGTAGGGAGTTACATAGCCATTGTAAGGATTCTCATTAAGGGATGGATGACCATACCACATATGCAATGTTTTGACCATGGCACATATGAATGGGTTGAACTAAATGTATGGATGAGACATGGACACACACACACATATGTATATATATATATATGATTCGGTTTTATCCGATTTATCGATTTATCCTCATATATCATATCTTATGGATCAAAGTTGATGTATGAATGGGGGGATGAACATCCATAAATCATACATGTACGAGCTATATTGGGTTGAACTACCAGGGATTCCATGGTTTTTGACCCCTAGCCATATTTTCAATAGGGGTTTTCAAGGGGTGCGAGATCAGAAAAAGCCATGGGGAAGACGCGTCTGTGCAAACGGGATCCTGAGACATCGATTCAGGCTTGGTACTGCACTTCGAGGTGGCAGCAGTCACAGAGGCCATTTTTTCAAAGATTTTTGGAAGGACGATTTGACTTGGATTTTTGGATTCCTTGATGGATCCGAAGGTGCCAATTGGATGATCCTTGATTCCCCTCGATGGAAGATGGTTTCTCAAAAGAAACACCAGGATCAGAAAGCCACCACCTTGACCTGTGACAGTTTTTTTCGCAAGGCTGGAGTGGGTCATTTTTCTGCCGGAACTGGTGAAGCTGCTCGGACTCAGACAGCACTGGCATCATCATTTGAACATGGCACTTTCTGCTGACTTTTGGTGAACTAAGATATTTTTGTCTTGGACCGATCTCAGAGCCTTTTATTTGGCACATATTCTGTTGCTTCTCATGACTTTCTGACTTCCGCAGCCCAAAAAACAGTGAAATCTGAAATCTTCTGAAACTTTTGCCTTCGGAGATTGCCGGAGTTTGCAGCGCGCGCAGCGAGGTGGTCTGCCATTGCGACAAGCCTGGGCTGCCGAAACCTCCCACCTGCAAGGCAGGGCGGGGTGCTGTGCGACATGGCCGGCATGGCCGGCATGGCCCGTTGTTTCAACGAGGAGACGACGAAGTCCACCTTCGTCCTGGAGGTTGAGGACACAGCTGAGGAAAATGGCAGTCCAATTTTCAGGTCGAAGTCTCAGGAGTTTACCCCTCTGGTAAACTAACATAGCTATTGAAAATGGCCATTTATAGTGGATTTTCCCATTAAAAATGGTGATTTTCCATAGCTATGTTAAATTACCAGAGGGTAACACATTCTCACATCAAGTGATGAGAACAGCCAGGACCCAGGAAAATCGACTTGATTTGGAGGTACGAACTGCGATATGACCTCTCGCCCATGATGCTGAGAGCGGCTGCTGGGCAGAGTTACTGCGATGTGTCGTTATCTTCCAGATCTTCCAGGTAGCAGAGCGCCCAATGAATTGATCCATTGGAGGTCATGATGACTGGAGGAATGAAATGCATCCGAGAGGCTCGCCGCTTTTTTGTTGATTACAGACTCGAAATCTCACGTTTGTTTAATTGTATACACTTAGGATGACTTAGGATGACTTAGGATAGTCAGAATATACAGAGTACTTAGAATATACTTAGAATATACTTAGAATATACATGAATGTACTTAGGATACGCTGTACGATCTGTACGACAACGATTCGTTCGATGGTCCTTCGTTCATCGCCATGTTAGGCTGGAGCCTCTGGACCGCGAGTCTTCCAGCACATCTTAGCTGGCCTGGAAAAGTGAGTTGCCTAAGGGCAGATGACTGGATATGGGTCTGGGTCAAGTCATTAGGTACCCCAAAATTCTGGATGGTTAATACTAAACTAGACTTTCACATCTGTGGTCCCACATCGGTCTTCCATTTTGACCCACATCCATATTTCTTTCGGATCCTGAAATATCTGACATGATATGGATCTGCAGCTTTCAAATTTCTGAATGATGTCTGTTGAATATGTTGAAGCACTATATACTGCTGGTTGCATCATGGCTGGTATGATGAGGCGTGGTCCATACTACTTCCAGACACGATGCTGGAATGCTGCTGGCATTTCGCCATGGTTCCTCAGCCAAAATATGCCCCTTGTGCCAGCCAAAGATTATGCTCATGCAAAAGTTAAGAATAGTTCGTCAAGATAGATTGTGTATCCAAAACGTTCAGTGGTATTGAAGGCGATAAAGTTGAAGGGCTGAATAAACGATACATGGTGTGCTTGTCGTATTTTCTAGGTTTTCTCCATGTATCTTTCCAGGGAAGGTAAAATCAGTTGGGTCTCTGGATGGAGAACCGCCCTAAATTAAATTCGGCTTGGGTCAACCACGGTGATTTCGGCATCATCAAACTCATCAAACACCATTTTTTTTTCAGCGTTCCATGATGTTCCATGTTTGATCAACGGCTGTCAATTTGACTGGTATCATTGGTCTCTCAGGATCAAGCCATCACGGCCACGGCCAGGTCTGAATGTTCCGCGCCGCTGCTTCTGAAAGTCAGTGAACCAGCGCGCCTAGCGGCAGTGACTTTGGTGGAGGCGAGGGCACGGGAATTTTTTTCCGGGAAGTGATGTGAAGTGATGCAAGTGATGGAAGGGAGCCAAGAATATTAAGGAGCTTCAGATATTTGATGAATTTTGATGAATTTTGATATTTGCCTGTGTTCTAAGGGGTTCGAAAGCTGGCCATCTTTCACCATTTGGTC